TTTTTTTGTAATCCCGATTATTTAAAATTAAAGTCGTTTATAATTTGTTTATCCCGAAAACCGGATTGAAATCAATGAAGATAGTAAAGCGAAAATTTTAGTCATTAAAAATAATTAGGTTAATAAAATAACAACTTACAAATAAAGAACATATGTTAAAACATCATATTCCGGATTTCTTATTGTTACGCATACCCACAGCTCGTGGAAAGGTAGTTAGATTGGTTCATTGATAAGTTCGTCCGAACAGTATTGATATACCATATTATTAACATTGAGTGCTTGCAATGTTCTATGTGAACTCATCCTTACACGATAAATTCAAACAGTTTAAATGATATCGATATATGTTTTCCATATCTAATTGTCGTGATAATTTTTTATCAACAATTCCAACCTATTAAACAAGATATATATTGAATTATGTGGAGTGATACGATTTTAATAGTATTTATTTCTATTTGCACAGCGCTCTTGGGAGAAGGTATGAAAATTCATTGAATAATTCTTATAATTTTTTAGTAAAAAATTATCGTTTTGGACTTAAGGTCTTACTTGGGTATTGGTGTATAGGACTGAAAAATATCAAAAGTTGAAAGGTGAAGTTGAGAAGCAAAGCAAAAAATGTAAGTATTAAGAGAATAGTGAAATGATACATCATATTTTTAAATTCGAATGATATAAAATTGTGGCTTTAGAAAATATAGCACCAATTTTTTTGCTACCCATAATATTTTGAATAGTTTCGACATGTACATAGGTATTAAAAATTGTACATATAGTATTATTAATCTCGTTAAAACCTCCATTCCATATTATGAGTGGATTATAATACCTACACTTATAATTTCTTAAAACTTTAGTGGAAAGGCGTAAGGAAATCCATGGAGAATCGCTTGATAAATCACAGAAAAAGAAAATTGAACGCGATGAAGAGAAATTGAAAAATAATAATAGAGATCTGTCGTTGGTTAAAATGAAGTCTATGTTTGCGACGGGCTTCGCATTTACCGCGCTTCTTAGTATGTTCAACAGCATGTAAGTTGCAGCTTTAAAAATATATATGAGTTATTGAAAACTTACTATTACAATTATTCCACAACAGCTTTGATGGACGCGTCGTAGCACAGCTACCCTTTACACCAATTTCTTGGATTCAGGGTTTGAGCCATAGAAATTTGTCTGGTGATGATTACACCGATTGCTCTTTCATCTTCCTTTATATACTTTGCACCATGTCCATTAGACAGAATATTCAAAAGCTTTTAGGTTTTGCGCCTTCAAGAGCAGCTAGCAAACAGGGTGGAGGATTATTTGGACCCACACCGGGACAATTTAAATAAACAAGTTCTGACTCATGTGTATTCTAGATATCAATCACTATGGGAGTTGCAAAAATGAATTACAGTTTTGTGTATAATAATTTAAAAAATATATTCAGTATAATTGTTACACAAAAATATATTATTTGCGTAAACATTCTTTTTTCTATAAATGACAATATGTGTACTTTATATAAAAGCGTGCTCAAACACTGGCCTATCTACGATAATCCGATCGAAACCAAGTCTAGATAAGTCTATAGTCCGAAACTGTGCATCGATTATTAATTCAGAAATTGCTCTACCCACAGCTGGCGATTGCTGTAAGCCAAAACCAGAAAATCCACTTGCAATATACAGATTATTGTAGTAGGCATGTGGGCCAATAATACCATTTTCATCAAAGACATTATACTCATAAGAGTACTCCCAAGCGTCAATAACTTTTGGTTTTTTCGACATTTTCATCCTACGCATCAAATTAGGCAAAACATTCGTTTCGAAGTTGTTTTCGCTTGGCCCATTTTCTGCATTTGTGGGCGCACTAAAACCTGTTATATAGTTACCAGTTAGGCCATCTCTTCGAAAGTATACACCATTCAAATCCACCACGCATGGTGTACCGATACCCGATGTATTGATATCATCACTGTAGAACATGTAACCGTAATTACTTCGTTGGGTTATTGGCAGAGGAATTTTTAAAATTCCGGAACTCGTGCCAATTTTCGCTAGTTTGGCAATTTTCTCTGAACTTGTACCGGCCGCAAGTACACAAATCGAAAATTTTATAGAACGTGTTTCGTCGTTAGGCATTTTGACTATTGCTTTTTCCAAAGCATTATATGTACTGGTTGTAGATCCTCCTTCAATGACAACATCTGGTTGGTTTTGAAACTTAAAGTCTATCAATTCAGATTGTATGAAATGTGCGCCGTATTCCATTGCTTTATTCCTAAGTCCTAGTAACAAATTAGCGGAATCAAACCATCCATGTTTTTCAAGGCCTTGGCAACCTGTTAACAAAAGTGTATTTAAAAAAATTCGGTTAATTTTATAAAAACTTATTTACAAACCAATTGCTACATCTTCAATGTTTAGCCATGGAAATTTTCCTCTTAAACGTTCTGGAGTTAGTATTTCCGTACGGGCGCCAAATTCATTTTGAATTTTCGACATCGTTTTAAGTGTTTCCGCATTTTCCGCAGAAGCTAGGGTGAGGTACCCGTGAGGATCAAATCTTACGTCAACACCAAGTTCTTCTTTTGCATTCCTCATGAACTCTGCTCCGTAAAGTGACATTTCGATATTTTCAGGTAAAAGAAATTGCTGATGCAAACCTCCCGTAGGTAACGTTAAATAATGTCTGGTATATAAATGCTAGCAAGTAAATACAAAATCCATTCAAATTCAAATAAGAAATAACTTTTATAACACATTTTTTGTATAGATATACTCCTACCGAAAAATCCTTTTCAATAACAACAACATTTAAACCTTGACGAGCTTTTTTCTTCAACCAATAGGCAGCAGCTGATCCAACACCTCCTCCTCCTATTATGAGAACATCACAATGTGTCTGAAACTCATTGTCATCCCTTCTGTTTGAAGGTTCAACATTTGCCTCCACATCTTTGAGTTTTTTCTCAAATAGGGGAGTAAAAAACTGTTTAACTTTTTTCATATCACTTCCCAAAAGTTTAAAAGTTCTTTTAATTGGATGTGGTTGATCAGAATTATTATCACTAAAATTTCTTATCAAAGCCGGTCGACAAAACTTATTAATTTTGAATAACTCTGCAAACGCTATGGTCTTTATCATTGTTCTTAAAAATGTATGTGTTTTTTTAAATATATAAGTTTTTTGCCACAAAACTAAGATTAGGGTATTGGAAATATGTAATAAATATTTAAATTAACCTCAATTTATATCAGCTGATTTTTATACCATTACGGTGTTGTAAAGCTTCGTTTTTGAAGTCTTGTTAAGACACCAAAATTAATCGATAAATTTATCAGAAACAAAATGGAATATACAGAATATTGCATTGTAAATTCGCGCTTCAATCTTACATATTACTATTATAGATACTTTCATAAAGAGAATTGATGGAAAATGTCCTAAATCAATTCATATATTCTATTGCATTGCGCAAAGAATCACAATTGCTCATATGATAATACTGTTACTGATAAACTCAAAAATCAACTTATAGGTAGTTGCTAATAATAATAGCGGGATTCTGTAATCAGTCTCTAGTCTCTATTTGAGACATTTTGTGGTAAAATCTGAATTTGTGACTAGTTACTATTCACTAAATAGTCTCTAGCTTTAGTCTCAAAATATTGCCTCAAATTTGAGACCTGGTAGTTAGAAAGTCCCAAAACCAAAAAGAACTCGTGTCTGCCATTTTGAATATACTGAATAGAGATCATCATAGATATTAATAGAATGCATATTTTGTAAGCAACTCAAACACGAAAAGGTTAAAAATAAATAAATTTTACATAAATTTCGTTAATATTATGAAACAAAGTGAACATATATTTATATTTTTAGTGATAATTATGTTTTTTGACTATGTTATAGAAAATTTAATATTTGTTATAGACATATTTATTTGTTTGTGACTATCACTTACAGAATAGCAAAATCGTCTCAAGTCTCAAAAATTGTCTCTGTCAAATTTAGAGACTTAATACTGTATCACAGTACAGAATCGCACGGTAAATTCCTATATGGCATGGCACTTGATAACGGGGCATCTCGACAGGATAAAATCTATGTCTAACTAACTGTATTGCCGTGCCTATTGCCTGTGGAATATATGGAATACTAAATAGTTTGCTATATATTGTAAGCAATAAGCTGTCACTTCAGCAGTTTGGCGGCGCAGTTTTCATTTCTATGAAAATGTCGAAGAGGCAACGTACATAATTTGCACATATGTATGCCGGCATTTTCATTTCAGTAATATGAAATTTAGAAGAGCGAGTATTAAGATGGTTTTGTTATGTTATAAAATAAAGTACATTTTCAAAATAACATTATTCCAAAAAATTAATATTTAGTTTAATAATTATTTTACAGAAAAATTATGCAAATTGGGTTGGGAATGACCGAAGTCTTAAATTTAATAAACTTATACAAGCATAAATCAAAATATCTTTGCACATTTTAAATTTATTATTTTAATTGGTACCTTTATGTCACAATTATTATATAGTATTCCAAAAATTTGAATTTTTATTTTTCCCAGAAATACGTTTGTGGAAAAAAGGATATTTCTCCTTTGTTATTATCTTATTTTTTCCCAAAATACATTTGTAAAAAAAGGATCGTAATCCTTTTTTTATTTTCCTCATAAAAGCTACATCAGGCCTAACCGACGGCATTTCGCAATTTCAAGAGCTCAAAGCATGCGCTACATCAACTCGAACCTACCTACCCTACGCCTTGCTCAAATGATTATGCCAAGATAATAAATGCCCACATACAGATTTGGCAATGGCAATAGTAATAGATTTGACAGTTAGTAAGACATAGATTTTATGTAATGTAATGAGTTGCGAAAAACTATTTAGAAATTTGATACAGCTAAGAAAATGTCATAATTCTTATATGCAAATTATTAATAGTACGAATGCAAGTTTAAAAGGTACGGTAACACTGCGATATTTATTTGACATTTCATTTATATTCCCTGCTTTGCATTACTCGACAATTTTTGGTTAACCGTGAAATTTAGATTTGTGAGATTTCTTATTAAATCGGAGAAATGACAAACACTGTGGAAACTTCAGGACAGGACGTTGAAATGGAGGTGGATCCATCTAGTGAAAATGCAGGAGACACAAAAAAAGATCAAGGTGTCTCAACAATATTGGAAATTCGTGAGCAAATACGTCAGATTGAGAGGGCCGTAGCGTCAAAGGAATCTAGGTACAATTATTACCTTTGTTTTCTTTTTTAATATATGTACATTATTAAATAAATGTTATCATTTTAGATTCATTTTGAGAGTGCTACGTTCACTTCCCAATACGCGCAGAAAACTAAGCGCTGCTATTTTCCGAAATATAGCTCAGTCAATATATCCAGCAGGAACTGATCGCGAAACTGCAAATAGTTTGATTCCGAATACTCCGGCTGGAGTCATAGAAACTGAAATACCGAGAAGTCGTTCAGCGTCAAAGCCTCCAATTGCTGAAGTCGATGCATACTTTTATTTACTCTTGCTGGTTAAGCTAATTGATGAAGGAGACATAAAACGTGCAGTTGTGTGTTCCGAAGCCCTAATGTCGAAAATTGCTGGGCAGAATCGTCGTACTTTAGATTTGATTGGAGCAAAATCTTATTTTTACTACTCGCGAGTTATTGAGCTTAACAACTGTTTAGAAACCATAAGAGGATTTCTTCATGCTCGTTTGCGAACAGCTACTTTGAGAAATGATTTCGAAGGTCAAGCGGTACTAATTAATTGCTTATTGCGGAATTATTTGCATTATTCACTTTACGATCAGGCTGACAAATTAGTAAAGAAGTCTGTATTTCCGGTATCAGCTAGTAACAATGAATGGGCACGATTTTTGTATTATTTGGGCCGTATAAAGGCAGCAAAGCTTGAATATAGTGATGCCCATAAGCACTTAGTGCAAGCTTTGAGGAAAGCTCCACAAAACGCGGCCGTTGGATTTAGGCAAACCGTGCAAAAATTGATTATAGTTGTCGAGTTGCTATTGGGAAACATACCAGAACGACAAATTTTCCGTCAAGCCGCATTGCGTAAATCTTTGGCACCCTATTTTCAGCTTACACAAGCTGTACGCTTAGGTAATCTTCAGAGATTTGGTGAAGTGGTAGAAAACTTCGGTCCGAAATTTCAACAAGATCATACTTACACATTGATCATTCGTCTAAGGCACAATGTTATAAAAACTGCAATCCGTTCAATTGGACTCTCTTATTCACGCATATCGCCAAACGATATTGCAAAACGTTTAATGCTAGATTCAGCCGAAGATGCTGAATTCATTGTGTCCAAAGCAATTCGTGATGGAGTTATCGAAGCAACTTTAGATCCAGAACAAAATTACATGAGAAGCAAAGAAAGTACAGATATATATAGTACACGCGAACCGCAGCTTGCTTTCCATGAACGTATTACATTTTGTCTTGATTTGCATAATCAAAGTGTGAAAGCCATGCGATATCCGCCGAAATCATATGGTAAAGATCTTGAAAGCGCCGAAGAGCGGCGAGAGCGTGAACAACAAGACTTAGAATTAGCTAAAGAAATGGCCGAGGACGATGAAGATGGTTTTTAAGAAGTTTGATTTAAAAAGTTTATGAACCGATAGCGTTGTCGCGCAAAAAATTAAATATAATCCCAAAAATGATTCTTATAAAAAAATAGTGTTTCTCTTCTTGGAGTGAAAGCAGACTAGCAAGATTACATAGTTGTAGTTTTAGAAAATATGCCTCACATGATTTCAAGAAATGCTACCAAGTTAACAGTCTTCGCCAGAATACGGGTTCGCTCTGATTATGTAGACCCCACTATTGTAGGATTATGCTCCTGTACTCAACATGTGTATGTATATTACTTTCTCGATAAATAAGGAAAATTTCTCAAATAGTTTATTTCTTCCTTACTTTCCTTACCAACCAAATACAAAGAATTTAATAGATATTTAAAGATATGGCACTAGCTTTAGGATGTTGAGAAAAATGATTCATAATCGTTTTTGAAAAAAAAAAAATTTCAAATATAAATTTGTGTAATTTGCGATTTCAGACTTAATTCCAGTCATATAGAATGAATGATAGCTGAAAAGAAAAAAGTTGCAGCTCAGCCATTTTTTATAAACAAAAAACTGTCAGGTAGGCAGTAAACAAGATTACTGTCAGATAACGCATTTTTATTAAATGTAGAAATATTAGTTTTTTTCGGCAAAACAATTGTTTTTAATATTACTGCTTTCTCAGATATTTTCTTTATGCTATGTATACAATTAAATATTTTTTTGGAGTATGTATTTTATACAATTTTAAAATTAAAAATCTTAAGATAAAAGTAATAAAATGTCTTACGTTAATTTATACAACACTTTTTTCAATAGTCCTGGCAATATTGTGTGTACTTTGTTGGCTGTGTACGGCATCACTGTTTTTACTTGTCGTGAATGAAATTGACTATACATTTGGTTATTGTGTTTCAAAGTAATTTAATATAAAGAAAATCTTCTATAAATATTTCAAAAGTGAAAGCATTAATAGCATGGTTATACATACCGTTTTGCCTTGGCAAAAGCGTTGAATTTTCTTTTCGTTGTCGTAGCGAGAAAATATAAATCTGCACAACATAAAAAAAGTTTAAAGGAAAAGAAAGATAAACGATAAAGTAAAGAGACGACTATCAACAGCACAAGCAAATGAAAAAGAATATTGTGCAAAATAACGAGCTGCAAGGCCCAGTATAACTCAACGAGTAACGAGTTGCCACCGTAGAATCAAGTGCCAATGTGTGGTGCGACCTTCTGGCCTCGGGCTATCTTAAGCCAAATATTGAAATTAAAAAATTGTGCTTAAAGTATAAAATCTAGTTTATTAATAATAGCAAAAATAATATTTGGTTAAGTTGGGTGATCTAAACGCTGTCGGAGGCAGCATTGCAACAACGCGCCTCTAGATTTAGTGTAGGATTGCAGTGTATGCACTACACAAATATATATCAAAAAGACGAATTTTGTAAGAAAAAGGAGAAAAGAGAACGTTGTAACAGATTTTCACTTGGTTGATGTGCGACAGTAAATGTATCAGCGGAAATGATTTGTAAAAAGGACGTTATCCAATGGTTTAAAGAACTCGAGAGTTATAAAAGGATCGACACGATGTGCACTTTGCTTAACATGTGTTTACCGTTTGAGTTACGGTTCTTAGGGACATGCCTAGAAGAGTTGGGCCGGCGCGATTCGCAAGAGTTGCGTGGCATGGAATTAAGAGTTAATAATCCCCAAGATTTGGCATCTGATATGGTTGCATGTCAGAAAGGCGAACCAACTGATAAGAAAATAAGGCGAAAAATGGCGCTTTATTTAGCATTAATACGAGCTTGCAATCGTACCTGTGTGACGGAGATATTTCGAACGTTGGATGGTTGGGGTGACAGAGACTTTCTTAATATGAATGACTCAGATACTTTACAGGAACTTTTATTGGTTTACACCATGGCAGCAAATCATCCGGTGTTTTCATTTGATCAGCAATGCAAATGCACTCAAATTTTTGAGAAAATTAAAGAAAACAAGTTGGTGGCGGATTTTCAATCTCCGCTTCCCCAACAGCCGAGTATTGACCCAACGCTAGTTCATACTCAACATCAGCAGGAACCACGTCAACATTTGCCTCCGTCCCACCAGGAAATTCCACAGCAGTTACTTCATGCAATGCATATCCCTGGACAACCGCATCCACAAATATTAACACCCGTCAACATCATGCCAATGACATTTCCACAAGGTCTTCATAAGGTAGTTATCCCGTGCTTATAATTTACATTTAATTAAATGCTTAACCTTTTGTACCTACGTTATATGTAGGATTACCATGAGACGTATCCTATGTTGTTAGGTTAGTTTCTGCAAAAAAATTTGTTTTAGATATTTCGCTAACAATGTATACAATACCATAACTTTATTATATTCTGAGCAGGGTATTAAGGTTGCCACGAAGTATATAGCACCCAGAAGAAAACGTCGGATACCCAATAAAATATATAATGTAAATGTTTAACGTGACGAGGAACCTCAAATTAGCCATGTTAGTATGTTTATCCGTCGGTTGATATGTCTTTTTGAGATATCGCTCTGAAGTTTTCACACGTCTTTATCTCTCAGATAACCTACTTATTTTCGGACTATAATATTATATAGCTGCCTCTGAACGATAAAAATCGGGTCTTGTATGTATTTGTTTTTTTTTTTGGCAATATATTTTCACAAACTTTGGCATGGATTATTTTGCAAAGCATCAATACAATATCCGAAAAAATTGTTCGGACGGATCACTATAGCATATATCTACAATGATATCTTCACGAAATTTGACGTGAATTATTGTAGTTGTAGTAGCGGCTGATCCCTGGCGGGATAAAAATCCGAGTCCGTCCCGATGGACTGATTATTGTCCAAGGCCACGGTACAATTTCCGAAAGAAAATTACTATAAATGCACATATAAATATGTACGTAATGAATAAATATAAAAATGTTATAATTTAGTAAACTAATTAAAATTAAAGCTATTTATATGGAATATATATGTGTATCCTGGCATTTATTAAATTTTTTAACTTAAACAATTTTCACTCATCAATTAATTCTTTTTAAGTTTATTTTATATAATTTACATACTATATTATTTATTTCCACCACTGACATCTCATATGATTTTTAATAAATGAATCAGTAAATGTTGCTGATGTACCGGCAGAAAACATTACTGAAATTATTTCCGTTAATAAAAATCCGGATCCGTTCCGATTACTTAGAGCCGACTATCAGGGGAATATACATATACTTGTCGAGTTGATCATAAAAAAAATAGTTTTTATACATTTTAATCTTAATAAATACATTTGCATAATTATGGATTTGTAATTCCCATGTGCATATATATATTATAACCACACTAAAATAAAAAAAATATATATTTCAGATCATTCAAGCAGATGGAACAATGCAACACCCTGTTCCTGTTGATCCTCATATGATTCCATTAAATGTCATTCCAACTGAGTCGAATCCAATTTTTCAGCCAACATGGCAACGCATGTATCCCCACACGGTTGAGGTAAATTTTGAATTGTTTATTGTTGGTAACATATTTATTTTTTATTTGTACAAAAAATAAAATTTCCTAATTTTTTGTTAATTTATGGCCACGTAAATTAATTAGTGAAATTGGTGCTTTTGGGTTTTTATTTCTTCTAGCATCCGCCGCAGTCGGCATCGCCGATGCTAAGCCAACAATCCTCTCCATCAAGTAGCCGAACCACAAGCCCAAACCGGAATGCTAGTAGCAATATGATGCTACCTGGCATGCAGTTGCAATCACGAAATATTCCGCAAAGAATGAGTGCCTCATTGAAAAATGTCAGGCGTCCATCAGCTGAAACTACACCACCACCAATGGGGCAACAGCAGCATCAACAACTGATACACGACATTAATATGACAACCAACATAAAGAATATAGATGATGTAAGTATCAATTACTATACACTGCTACGTGCACAAATCTCTAAAACTTATTATATCCTTTCCAAATTTTATTTCAATATGTTGTAACAAGCCCTTTGACTATTTTTACATTAGGTCCTATTTGCAGTCATGAACAGAGAAATAACACATTGTTAAATTAAATTATTCATATCAGTTTTTATTTTATCAAATTTCCTATGCTAGAGTATGTCTTGACTTCCACAAATTATAAAGGTAAGCAGATGCCATATCATGCTTAATTTTCGGTTGTGATCCTAATTTGCTGAAAAATAAAAAAAAAAAATTCTCCTGCACCTAAAACAACGAAACATGCTGATAGAGCTATCATCAGAAAAATCAAGGCTGATCATTTTAAACATTTTAATAAATATCGAAATTTTGTTTAGCAGCAGACTTGTACGAAGGCGTCTCAATGATGCTCTGTTATTTGGACGAGTAAGACAGCGGAAAAACCAAGCTATCCAAAAAAATATAAGAGTACAGCTGAATTTTGCTAAACATTTAGAAAAGAAACGTACATTTTTGAAAAAGAGTACTTTGGAGCGATGAAACAAAGGTGAATAGTATTTTATCCGATGGCTAATCATTTGTCTATTGTCCCAGGTGTCAGGCTAAGCGTTGGATAGGTTGTAGAATGCATCAATCTTCATACCTCAACAGGATCCAACAATGATCCAAAGATCGCAGTTTAAAATATGAAAAAAATTGGCTTACTGCAGAAAGTATTGATATCCTGAGCCAGGATCCCCATGCATATCCCATTGAAGCGAAGTTAAGATGTAGAAAAAATTCAAAAATGCTAAAGAACTTTGAATTGCGATCAAAGTAGGTGCCAGAAGTTAGTGGAGAGTTTGCCAAGACGATATCAAGGAATTTGGTGTATATGTGGACACTCTACAAAATACTAAAAACATTTCTAATAAGTTTTATTTAATTCCGCTGGAGCCACCTTTTATGTCTAGTTGAAAATAAGCAATTGGAAACTCGAGAACTAATGAAAAAATTTATTTAAATTTTTGTACATAACTTTTTCTCTGTCCATGACTGTATATACTTACATATATTAAACTAAAGTAATTTTTGTTTGAATGAACAGTACTTTACTTTCATCATTAATTATTAATAATTTATTTATATGTTGTATTCATTGTAGGCTGTAGCAAGCAACGAAGGCACCGGTAATCCTCTACAGGCGTTGATTCGCAATGGTTATCCACGCCGGCATAAGTCAGGCAATTATACACCGCTTATTCATCAGCAGCAACAACAATTAGCGGTGAATCCACATTTCCAACCGGTTGCAAATTTCGCTGGTCTAGCTTATTCAATGCAGAATATGTCAATGTCTGATGGCACTGGTACTGGTTTAGATACCACATTAGTACCGGGATCGTTAAATGCGAATAAAAGTGGTGGCAGTGATACAGGTAGTTCCAATGGTTCGTGTGGTGACGCTTCACCGCCAGAAACGCCAACGCTTTCAGGTACTACAAATGTGCCCGGCTTACGACTTGGTAATGAAAATCAACTGCAAAAACATCAACAGTTGGGCTATAATAAACAGACGGGGAATACAAGGCTTAACGGACGCTCAGATAAAATGATTTCAGCGAATGTTGTTGTGAATTCCGTTAGCACGACTGCAAGTGGTATGTATACAACACCAATGATGAATACACATCCGGCGCTAACGCAACAGTCACAACCAATGTATGGTGCTGAAATTATTTTAGCATCCGGTAGTAATGCTGGTGGCATTGGTTTAATGCAAACATCGCTGGCCAATAACAATAATAGCGGCGGCATTGGCAATAATATTGCAGTTGTTAATACGACTTCAAATATCGGCACCAGTAATAATAATCTAGCAACTAATCCCGTTTTAATGAGTTCTCCATCGCCGGGTGTCGCTAGTGGTGGTGGTAGCATTATAACCAATATGACACCGAATCCGCTTATCCTGCCCACGCCACATCAACAGCAATATAACGCCACCTACCCATATCATGCAGCGCCTACTGCCCAACATCAGCGTTTGATGAGTCATACCGGTGGTCCAGCACCGCCACAATTACGACTTATGCCGAACGAACACATTTATTCATATTATCAAATACCAGGCGCGGCACCGCCCGGTGCGCCGCCCCTCGCATTACGTCCGACTAATGCGTTGCCACCCCCACCTAATACAAATGTGACATCGGGTGTTACAGGTGTGCTGCAGGTGCAGCAACAACAGCCCACCGCGCAGGCGCTTCAAACTAATCCAACTATTGTCGCCAGTCCAACGATATTGACTGGTGGTACGCCGTACAGCACGCAGGCAGCGCAAATTGTCAGTAATAAACATTTATCGTGTTACAATTGTGGTTCGCAGAGTCATAGTGGGCCCGATTGTCAAGAAGCGTCCATGGAGGACGTTACCCGCAGCGCCATATATAAATTAGACTATTCCGGATCGTCAAGTGCGTCACCAACTGTGTCGTCGGGTGCGAATAGTGTGACTGTTGGTAGTGCGGGCGCTGGGGGTATTGGCGGTGCTGCTGCTGGGGGTGCTGGTGGTGGTGGAGGTGGTGTTGGAAGTGGCGGTAGCAGTGGTGGTGGTGGGGCTATAACAGACTCTTTGCAAATACAGCATCACCCGCAACAACAACACCATCAAAAACAACACACAGTGGAAGTAACTGGTGCAACATTGGTCGGTACACAGTCGAGTGCGACCACACTACATTCGTCCACGCCCGTCGCCAGTGCACTGAACACAAAGTGAAGTTATGTTTGGCAAATTTTTGAGTGCGGTGTTTGAAACTCAGCATGTCTGTAACTCTTATGTGTTATACAACCTTAACTATTATCGCTCCCGAAAAGTGTTAGTTAAGTTGATAAAAAAAAGTTATGGCGGGTTGCGAAGACAAACTGAAAATATAGTGTAATGATAGTTGAGGCTTGCCAGCTCTTTGCTGTGCTTGCAGTATAGAGATTTATACAGTTATGATTAGCGGAAATCAAATTTCACGCTTCTCTAGCGCATAAGATTTAAAATTAGTGAAACTTTTTAATAACAAATGATTAATATATACATATTTCAATGTTGAATAAGACTTAATTAATTAATTAGCGCGTATAACATCTGAAATCGTGTTATAGAGTTATAACAAATGCAAAAGGTTTGCTAAACTTATTATACGGATATAGGAATGCGAACAAATAATAAAAAATACTCGTTTGTACGTCCATGTAAATCTAAACATATTACTACACACTCAATTCGGACTGTATGTATTATGTAGTATGACAATTTATTATAAGCAATTACAATTATATACTCTTAAAATGTTTCTCAACGTAAATTCGTAAGCAAATTGAAAAAAAAAAATGTAATTAAGTCAGCTGTATTTATTTATTTAGTAAACTTAAATTTCCATTTAACAACGTTAGCCATGTGTGCATGGCTTTGAAAGTCAAAACTTCTAGAACAAATTAAAAAATTCTCTTTTTTTGCGAAATTAATTCGTTAAAATATTCTAATAATTAAGTACATTAAGAATTCGCGCTGCATGTAATAAATTTTATTAAGAACTTTTTGAATAACTACATATACATAATTTATGATTTAGAAGTTTGTAGTATGTGTATGCATTTTTGCATGTGCGTTAACTGACTGTGTTGAAATATTTCGTTCGCATTACTATAACTGTACGTGAAAGATGTGTGTGCATATATGTATATATATGTAAAATCCGTGAAAACGCCTATTAGTACATATACATATATACTCCGTGCCATGCACAACTTCATCGCTGTATGAAAGTGGTAATAACAATCGTACGTTCGGATCAGATAACAAAAAAATAATTGGAGATGAATCAAATTAGGAATTAATAATTTGTGTTTTACAGTAGTCACATTCTTCTATGTAGTATATATAAATGTATATTTAAGTAAAAAATAATTATTGTTAAATGAAGGATATGAAAGAGTTAAATAGTAACCTATGAAAAATGAAAGTAGTTGGAGATGATGAGAGCAATGAGAAACATTTATATTAAATACACATATATGAGTATATATTAATCCAATACATATTAATTACAGATATTCTCTAAATATGTAAACAAACGCCGACAAGAGATATCCCTGTTTCTGTATACATACATACATATATGAATAAACGTCGAAAAGTGAAATGAAAAAACGGCAAAATGCGCCAACATGCGATTTTGAAATGCATATGTATGTAGGTATGTGCGATTCGATGTAGCAGGATTATATGAAGTTCTTGTTATATCTGCATATATTATTTTGTTCTAATTGTTGGTATTCGGACTTTGTATTTATGTACGTAGTGTTAAAACCAATTTTTTGAACAAACGCTCGCAACTTACTGATCAATGGCATTTGCTAAGAACATACTAAAAGTATATATACACTCATACACATATTCGCACAGATTTAGCAGTCGGAAAGTAAATATATATATATATACTACAACATATACAATTACAATTAACCTGTACATGTAAATCGCTCTCCTGCTTAAAGTTAAGGTGAACAAAGCTAAATATTCTTGACTACTTCTTTTAACTGATAAAATATTATTTCCTATTTTCGAAATTTTAAGCCGTCTACTTTATATTTATAAATTACTTGGTTAATTAATTTAATTATTAAATTGTATGTACATATATAAGATTAAATATAAAGGACATTGAACTAAAACATGTATTATGTTTTATTTCGAAATAAATTTTTTCTTAAATCCTTTGAAAAAAAAAAGCAAAAACCAAAAATTTTTGTTTTTTTAGTTCTTTACTGAATGACGATCTATGTCGTTGTTCTTGTAGCGACAGAAAACACTTAGAAGAGTTTGGCCGGATATAAATTCGGTTCCGTTCCACCTGCACGCAATGAGGGCTAAACTTTTCAATAGGTGGGCTATATTAAAGTTTTCAGTAAGCTGTAATACGGGATTTTATTATAGTAAAGTATAAATTATAGTAAAGTATAATGCAGATCAGAAAGATTTAAACTGATATTTCTTTCTCTATAGCCCATTGGTTGGTTTTTTGGGTCTAGATAGATAAAAAAAATTGAGACTTGCACTGCGATCTAAGTTTTATTGTGTATTCCCCTCTGTCACACAGACTCACATAGACTTTCACTCACTGATAAATTCCAGGATCCTGTTCGGGGTTATTGAGACCATGCTGGGTTTATCGATCCGAGGGTCTTGATCCTGCATGCACAGATAGCTGTACAGTCAAGAATGAAGTGCTTGGTAGTTCATCGCTCCATGTCGTAGGACCGTTGCAGAAGAGTTTGTACCCGCGTTAAATTGAGTCTGTAGTGCTCAAGGTAAAATGCCACAAGTAACTGTATTTGTCTCTGGAGAGGTTAATTAATATCAATATCTTTCTCTGCGAACTTTTCGTGAAGGAGCTGCATAGCAGGTAAGCTTTTCAGGCACTTCGTTCCAAACTACCTCTTTGTAAGATGCACCCGGTTACAGATTAAGAGACTCTGCAGCCGTTCTATATACTCCTTCACAAATAGGAATTTAATTTCGTAAGCTAAAATTACTTTAAGTACCGCTTGACTATGGTTGAGTAAAGCCATACTTTCATTTCGATAGTTGCGTTGGCGATTTATTTCTACACCTCGACTTATAGCAAGAGCATCTGCTTGAAAGGAGTTCGGGAAACGTCTCATGGGTATGGATAGTTTGTTGTGCTGTTCTGCGATTCCTGCACTAATGCTTTCCGACGTTTCGAGCTGTCCGTATACCACAGAGATATTCCTCAGAGATATTCCTCCTTCCTGAATTGAATTAATTTGCTGTCATTGGGCACATAATACGTGCCACGTATATATTGATATTGGTTTATATCCATCTGATAATCCTTAGCTTACAGCACAAGAAATTGTCGGGCAAGAAAGTGAATTCTTTTGTGGCTTTAACCATAGATTCACATGCATGTTCCACCGAAGAGTGGAATACGAAGTCAGATATTTAGTCTTATTTGTCAACTCTAATTCTATACTGCCAAAGGCTTAGGTCGTTTGGGGGCGGTAGGGACCTTCAATTGATAAAAGGAATGATAGCCGTTTTAGACGGGTTGATCTTTAGTCCAAAGTTGGGCCTATTTATCTATGCAGTTTTTTTAGTCTAACCGTAGATCCACAAGAGCGGCAAATAATAAGGAGAAAGGGACCTCTCTCACATATGTACATATATACGTTCTGACGATCTACTTGTGTTATGAGAATACGAAAGATGGTATTTTTTTTTAATTATTCATGCGTCTCTATCTATGATTTGTTTTAAGCTCGTTGCCCTTGGATTTTTATACAAAAATAAATTTTTCTCGAAAAGACCAACGATCCCTGAAAATTAGTAAAAAAAATGTAACACACTGTCAATATTTCAGAAATTATTTGTAAACAAACTCACCTTGAATATCTTTATATATAACCACGTGTCACGTTGTTTGCCCGCGATGGACTCCTAAACTACTGAACAGATTTTAGCAAAATTTGGTACACTGTGTAAATAAAAAATACAGTGAAGGCTCTATTAAATGAACGCTCTATTAAGCGGTTATCTCCATTAACCATGCACATTGACCGGTCTCACAATTAAGCGGACAACTTTATTAACTGAATAGAAATGCTGATAACCAGACATTGATAAAGCAGCCTTATATTCATTATTTTTCCCAATGAAATTTATTTGTATGAACATATTCAAAATGAAATCACAAGTACAATTCTTGGATTCTTATACCGACAAAAACGCTTTCACCTTTAAATAAAATTTCCACTGCATTGAATAGCTTATTATATGAATAATAGTAACATGTATATACCACAGCAACGCGTGACCGGATGCAGTAATATTACATATATAAGATTTAGTGGCTCTGGTAGTCAAATGGTGGCAAGAGAATAAAAATAGTCGCGAAATAGGCAATATTAAAAAAAAACAGAACATTTCATTCGGTCCATTATTGTTAAATTTAACAAGTAAGGAAGAGCTAAGTTCGGGTATTACCGAAAATTGTATACTCTATACAGTTTGGTTGACATAGCTATAGTAGTTTTCGAGATATGTACAAAAAAGTTAGTAGGGGGCGGGGCAACGCCCACTTTTCCAAAAAAATTACGTCCAAATATGCCCCATGAGTTGGGAGGGCAACTGTTTAGAACTTCTTCCTTTTAACCGATTTTAAAGCTTATATGTATACCACGGAACAAGCCGCAATTATCGATGAGAAAATTTGTGAAATATTTACTATATTGCAAAGAGTATATCCACCGCGATAACGAATATTGTGATTCAGCATGAAGGGGCCAGGGAAGCAAAATTAGTGCATTGCCAGCAAAGGGCTCGATAACTTTGTTTTTATCGAAGAAATTATGTTAAGAATGGATAACTATGCAATATTAAAAAATGATTCGGCTATGCCAACAGCTAAACTCAATTTAAATGGTGGCTACTGCTTTATTCGGGATAACGACCCGAATTGTTCTGTTTTAGACGTTTATTCCATTGAACACCTGTAGGCCTATATGGAGACGAAGTTACGAGAGCGCAAAGTTAATAGCAAAAATGAGGTTAAAGTTGCTCTTCAGTAAAAATGGGCAAATATACCTCCTGAACTTACTCAAAATTTGGTGTATTCTATGAACAAAATATTACAAATCATGATAGAAGGCAAAGGTGCACATACGAAGAGTGTTAAATAATCAATTTATGCAAACTGTGTACGTTTTTTTAGATAGTTGATAACAATTGAGTTATTTGGAATTTTTAATTTTTTTGGAGAAAACTGAATATTTTCATGTACATTATGAAAATAATAAAACGACATTTTTCTCACTTTTGGATACAATTTAATAGTAGTTTAGAAATTTTGGAGATAAGTCACATCATTGTCAAACCATTTCCCTGTTCAAGTTTGTTTTGGTTCACTGCGTATACATTGGTTGCCTTTTATATTTTGGAATTTTGAGAACAAAAGCAAATTTTAATCTTCGAAATATTCTCCATTGAGATCTATGTACTTATGCTTGCGTCTGAACTAATTTTTCAAAGCACTTTTGCCATTCTGATTAATGTATCTGCAAAACGCAAGTATCGAAAAACGTTGATCTATTATTTTATCTTTTACGTACGGAAATAAAAGTCATATTGTCCCAAGTCAGGACTATACGGTGGATGACTCATCAAACTGATGTTTTGAAGCCTCAAAAATGATGTCGATGTCGTAGAGTTTGCATTGTCGTAGTGAAGAGTGATCCGTCTTCACCGGTTGATTTTCCTGATACGTTGTAAGAATATTGGCAAAGAGATTGTTGTGTATCGCTCAGACCTTCACAAAATCCATTTTGGAGTGACTTACGAACTCAATTCAATTCACCATACCATCGATAAACACTTGCACTTGAATATTCATTACCAATGACTGCATCAAGTTCATCGATGCACTGCTGCTGAGTTAATCCCCGTCGAAAGTTGTAATAAATAATCGCTTCATTTCATTCAATTTTTTGGCTGAGAATATTTTAAGTTACTGCAGGCAACACAAATAACGGTCAAAGATCAAAATATTATTACATATAAAGATGTGAGTTGCCAGATTGCAATATTAGGGTTGCTAAATCCGGAAATTTATAAGAAAAATGTATATAGTATAAATGATGTGTGTGATAAGCTAAGCCATATCCGTTCGTTTCCGATCATACCAAAGATTTTGTATGGAAAACTTTTTGAATTCACTAGAAATTCACCAAATTTGTCACAGATTATTGTTTAAGACTACCCTTTTAACTACAAATGAATTGTTCACTATATTTAGAAAGAATTAACGTCTTTTTCAAATTTGGATATATCTACATACATATATGTAGATGCTGAATGTACCTGTGAAGGGTTTTATAGCTTGGATGCATCCGTATTTAACGTTTTTTTGATTTCTGTTTTACGCATTGTTACTATCATAAAGCCAGGGCGAGAAGTATCAATACTAAATACCTCTACACTGTCAAGTTAATGTCTTTTGAATGAAAGTGAATAATACAAAATACATGGTCTTAGATACAGTATCGAACAGCTACAAGGTAAAAAAGAAGGCTTGGAAGCAAAGACTGGTGCTTACTTGGTACTGATCAATGCATTATTCCAATGCAAATAAAGAAGAAGAGAGACTCAGAAGTAAGAACACGAAATTGAAGAATATAAAAAAATGGAAAGCTTGAAAACACCTGTTTTATTTTTTCAGTGCATCTTCTTCTTTGCTTATGCCTTCCGTTTTCCACCACAAAGTGCTCATCAAAGTTAGCTTGGCAATGCAGGTGTAAGCAAGTGCGTACTCTTCCAAGCGTAACTATTTACGTCTATACATTTTCAGTAAAGTACGATCAGCTGAAAGACCTAGAAGCACAAAAAGTGTTTCAAGAAAATATAAATAATATTAACATTCATAAATAAATAATTAATAACTTATAAAGATTCTTTTATTTTTAAGGCATAATATAAAAGTGTTTTTCGTTAAGTTCAAAATTGTTGTGTTCAAAAAATATTCGTCATTTAAGAAAGAGTGAATTGTGTGTGATTTCGAAATCGCTGATGCGTGGCCATTTAGTTGTTGCGAAAACAGTAAAGTGCCTCAAAGAAAATGATTAAATCTGGTAAGCAGAAGGCTTGCATCGAAATGACGGGATCAAAGTTGAAAATAAGAACAAACACTCTGGAGCAGTCGCATGTTAAGGAGTCAAATTCAAATGAAAGGAAACTAGGCTACGATGAAACTCAACTAGGTGGAAATATATTAATCGGAAATTATGATGTAAGTGTTAAACAAAAAAAAAAAAAAAAACTGCTTTTATGGATATTGAGTAATTTCACGGTCTGTTGGATTTTCTTGCTACACCTGTTGTTTTTTATTTGACTGAGAAGTTAGCAGTTGCATTATCCTTTCTTACATAATATAAGGAGTAATTTCATGAAATCGGAAAACCAAACAGTCTTTTAATAAAAGGTGATTAACTCTTCGATGTTTTGTTAAGTAGTCCAGAAAAATGAAAATTATGAGGTACATTGAACAACTACCGAAAATACTTTGGCGAATTAGAACTCCATTATTTTTCCAATAAATTATTTTAGTAATCTAAATATATCTCGCGTTCTATAAGAGCGATTGTGTTTCGGTAAACTTCATTTCACAACTTCGTGATTAGTTGATTCAGTATTGTTTGCGAACGCGTCTAAGATTAACATCACCAAAGTGAAAATAAGCCATATATAGTACATAACATCTTTTTCTAATAAAAGTGAAAACGCAAGCCAAGTGGCTGAAAACGTGAATTATACTGTTATAGACAATCATATGGAATTTAGGTTTCGTCGATTCCGTTCCAGTAATTTTGATGTCAAACATGAACCACACTATGGAAGATCAAGTGCCAAATATATCGAGGATAAAAGGATAGAAATCGTCTGTTTCGATTGCCCATAAACTAAATATTGCATTTGGAGTCTTTTAAATAACGTTATATGCAAAACCAAAAAGAACCTTGATACAGGTATTTGGATGCCGCTCGAGTTAACGTCAACAAAACATCATGGACGAAATTTCCATTTGCAAAACGTTGTTGAATCACAACAAAATCGATCTATTTCTAGAGTGGATGGTTATTGGATGGAACGGCTTATGACAATGTTAAGCGAAACAGTTGTTGCCAAGTCAGGATTGTCTGTCAGAAAGATTTTGCTACGTGTTTGGTGGGATTGGCAAGGAATTATTTACTATGAGCTGTGCTCTTCGACAAAACTTTCAATTCGGATTACCAACATTTGGACCGTTGTGCCCATTAGGACAACACCAGATCGCACATATCGATAGTGACTCGCCAGAAGCTCCAGGAACTTGGTTTAGTTTGAATCTGTCACCAAGTAATTGCTACTAATATTGTTCATACAAATGTCGAATGGTTTTGTTAGTGAAAATTTTCCTTGAAAGCAGAAGCATAAGAAAATAAACTGCCTCAGTTTTTTGCCAACAGAAACGAGGGTTTATAAAAGAGTGGCATTATCAAATTACTTTAAAAAATGCGAAAAGTTATAAAAAAAAAGTTGCATATTTGACCAAATCGAAATATTCTAAATAGCTGAATAAAAGTTAAAATTTAAAGCAAAAATAATATATGTATATCTTTTTACAGACGTCTTTATCACACCAGGGACAATTTTTTCGTAATATTAGATCCACAATTACGGTTTGCAACCCAACTACTTTTTGGTTGCAGTTTTAAAATTCTTATTTTGGTTTTCAATTCAACTCATAAAAAAAGTCGCTTGAAGTGTTGTCAAATTTTAACTTCTTTGGTATTTCGGTTTTCAACTCTGTACTAATGGAGTTAAAGTTAAACATTAATGAATTTATTAATGAGAAATATTAATAGAAAATGTGTCAAAAGAACTATTTTATTTATAATTTCAACTATTCTTATTAGTTAATTTTTTAAGCGTCTTGCTACTCTTCAGACATTGATTGGTGTTACATCTATTATGCACAATGGTGTGCATAATATTTAAACGCAAGTTTTGCAGCAACCATAGACATCGTTGGTTGTTTCTGCCTAAAGTTAAAATCATTTAAAATGGACTTCCTTCATCCAAAAAACAAAAATTAAATCCTCATTTAAACGAAAATAACTTATGATTTGCAATAAACATTATTTAGAAGCCATTTAATTGTCTATAAAACTTTGGCTTACATGGGGTTGCTAATTTCGAAGGGATTTGAAGGTTTTTTCTTATGCGCAGCATGTCAATTTTGGAACTAAATTTTTGTCACCACAATATAAATCAGAACGAATTTCCCTTTTAATAATTATTCACCTTTTCGTGAGCAATAACTAAATCAAATTGTTTTGATTTTTCGTTTAAAAATGTTCAGCAGTTTAATTACACTAGTTTAGAGTCATTTTGCGACTCTGATATTAGAGGCTGTGTATTGCTAAATTTGGGTTGATTAAACCGAATCAACTATATATATGAATCAACTAATATTTTTAGTAGTCAAAGGGTATCATTAATAAAAATTATCCAAAAAAAAAAGTTGGGTTAAAATGAACTTGAAGCAATTCAATTCGAGTGGAATTGAAAAATTATTTAAGATACTGCTGCTCTTGGAATCAAAGGGGATTGACTGATCACTTTTGCTGTAAATATTATATAAAACCTATAGAGTTTTAGTTACTCCCATTTAAGGTTTTTCCTTTTTATATCAGTTTTAAGCAGGTGGATAACTGCATTTTGAGTCGAAATTAGTTGGCTCCGCCTGGCTACTCTCTTAACAGCATGGAAATATAAATATTTCATATTAAGTCTTCTACAGTAGGATTTTGTAATGGATCCCATAAGATAACTTCAAAATTAATATCTAAACTTATTTTCTTTTTAGTTTTTAAAAGAATTGGAAATCACTGATAATGGCATGGGTATACTTGATTTGAGCTCTTTGGCACAACTTGAGACCCTCACTTGCAATCATAACAAATTGAAAGAATTGATAATGAATGGAAAAAGTTTAAAAACAGTAAAGGCCAGACACAACAGTAAGTATAATTGGTTTTTAGATTTAACTAGAGAGGAAAGTATACAATTTAGTAGAACATTATAAAATCCGGTTCCAAAATGTAAAACCGTATATGTAAAATGTTTCGCTTATTAAAGGGGCTGTAAAGGAGGAATAGGATTTTTTATTGGCGACCCATTAATATTTAATCGAACCTCGTAATTACTATTGGGGGCACTAAGACAAGACTTTGTTGTTATTTTCAGAGGTTCTTTTCTGATCCTAAGCATTTTAAGCAGTCTCCTGGTGGTTGTTAGTTTTCTTTTTTCCAATTAGAGTTATTAGATAACACTGTCTGTTATACTTCGACTGCTGTTAGATTTGTCTGTGGGCAGAACTGGCACCTCTCAAGCCATCTTGGTATAGTATACTTTCTAAAACCAACTTTTTTCCTCCTTTGCAGATCTCGCTACAATAAAAATGCTATCTGCGCCAACTCATCTTGTAAATATTGATATTTCATACAATGATTTCGAAGAACTACCGGATTGGTTGGGTGCCTGCTATAATTTGGAGAGTTTATATGCCGAGCACAACCGTCTCTGGACCATTGACAACATATTCGCTACAGATGGATTTCGTAAATTACATACATTTAGTTTGGCCTACAATCAGCTAACAACCTTGAATGTTTCAACACTAATTTTTGGCGCCGTTGCAAATTTATATTTGCAATGCAATAAATTACAAAAGTTACCCGACAACTTCTTTGCTATCACACATAAAACACTGAGACTGTTGAATGTCTCGTGTAATAACTTGTGTGCGGTCGGGGATAATCAAAACATCAAGGATAACTGCTGCTTACAAGAGTTATACCTCTCGAATAATAATCTGAATGAGAATATATTCTCCACTTTTGTGGGTGCGAGACAGTTACGCATCATGCACGCAGCTTATAATAACATACGTGAACTACCTGAAAATATTATAAGAAATTGGACTGATTTAGAGGTGCTCGTCTTATCGGGGAATAAATTACAAAATCTACCGGAAAATATTTGCGTCCTCACGAAATTGGAAGTTTTACGTTTACATTCGAATCTGCTACACACAACGCCAAGCCTTACGAAATTAGCGAATTTGAAAGTATTGGATTTGGCACACAATCATTTGGATCACGTAAATCTCTTGAGTATTATGCCAAAGAACATAAAATATTTGGATCTGTCATGCAACCTACAATTACAATTCGACGAGCGACAAGTGCAGATGTGTCAGTCTTTGAAGAAAATGAGCTTAGTGGATGTTAGCGGTAAAAATCGCGCTTGCTTGCCCACAAACAAATTGGCGGAAATGAAAGATAGTAATGTCTTGCGACAACCCTGGATGGCCGGATTTACCGAGACGATTGGGAAATGTCGAAAATTGTTAGTTAAACAAATACGTCTGTGTAATTTCGCTGAGGATGAAGGCTTTTTCGGTATGCTCGAATCGGCCACTCTGGGTGCACTCAACACGACATTCGTTAATTTGGTGCCACAAATATTATTACACGAGCGCAGTGTCAAAGAAACAGCTAAAGAATATATGAAATATACATTACTGTCGGTCTATCAGCGCTTGGCAAGTGAGAGAGGCTGTGAAGATCTGCATATTGCGCTGTGTCATATCGCCAAAGAGAGCGCAGGATTCAAAGATTATATGAGACCAAAGCGGAGCAAACGTTTCATTTTACGCGTCGCCAGTATTGGTAATATAGAAGCGCATCTTGTGCGCAAAACGTCAACAATTTGCCTGACAAGTGACAGTTATAATGCGACGCTGTCACATGCCGATAATTTTAAGGACTCAGAAAAGGCGCTTATCACTGATCCCACAATACACGAAACGTTTCTAAGCAACGACGATGAGTTTTTAGTGATCTGCAATGCGAACATTTGGCGTGTTATGAATATCGAACGCGTTACACAGGAGATACGACGTGAAGAAAATATAGTTTTAGCTGCCAAACGTTTACAAGATATTGCACAAAGCTTCGGCGCAGATGAGAATCTGAGCGTTATAATTGTACGTTTCAGATATATCGGTACCGATGTGGATGACCTGTTGAAAGAGCTAAAGCAAACGGTACGCAAGAATCCTATCACGCAAAATATGAACTGTGATGATAAGCACTCGATCGGTAGTCAACGTTTAATTGGTCGCTGTTCACCGCGTCAGGTTTTAATGGGCGCAATGCTGAAAAGCGATCGTTCCTCGCCGAGTGGCCAAAGTGATCAAGTGCAAAATTTTCTCAATAAGGGTGTACACGGCGAGGAGTATGCCTTTGCAACCGAGCATGTGCTAGAAGAGGACGATGATGAATTGGAAATTTTACATGAAACCGATTCAGTGCTGTCAGAGGAACAATTCAAATGTTGGGAATACATGTTGGAACAAAATACACAACTACTCTTTGACAAAGAACTCAATACAATATCCAAATCGATAACAAAAGATCATAATAGCGAATTGCCGGCGGAACTTAATATCAGTCTGGATAAAAGTGAATATAAGGAGAGTAATTTAATAAAAACTTTTGGCAATCGCTTTATATCGCACAGTTCGCCGCAATTGTTGTACAGTGAAATTAAAAAACCGCTTACAACATTTACACACAAACATCAGGAGAAACGTCAGCAGCAGCGTCAACAACAACAGCAACAACAGAAGCATCAACAGCAAGTATCCTTCCTGTCAAAACACTTCGGCAGCTGTCGTTCATTTCAAACGCAATCCCGTTATAATCTCTTCGAATCGAAAAGTCAAAATTCAGTTAACGTTGGTCTCAACTCGAAGTGGAGTGGTGGCCCCAATGCTGCCTACTTTGGTTCATTACAACGTCTGATGCCATACAATTTGGAATATGATTTCACAGTTACACAGGATCGCACAGCGTTCAACGAGGAAGATGACGAGTACGATGAACAAGAGGATCGCATGAAAAAATATTGGGGCATAGCGACTACAGAGCTCTAGATGTGCATATATTATCTATATATGTACATATTTATATGTAATAGGGTGTCCGTTATTTCTCAAGTTCGTTTTTTTTATTTTAACTCTTAAAGCAATTTTTTAATGAAAAAAAATCAATAAGAGCTTTGTGCAGATAATATGCTTGAAGCAAAACAAATCTTTGAAAAGTGTTGCCATAAGAAAATTAAAAAGTAACGTCTCACTCTTATATCAGTAACACCCGGTGCGTATTTTTCAATTCCTGTTTTATTGAATTTTATATTTTGACAACTTCTTATGTCTCAGTTTATATTGTCATATTATTTGACATATACATATACTGTTATCATCAACTTAAACGCTCCACTCCACTCAAAATTTATTCCATTCATTTGAAATTAAGTTCATCTACTTGGCGATGTAAAAGTTTTTATTTTTCTTATTGCAATAAATGATTAACTGAAAAACTTGTACCCTAATCATAAGTTGATAATGTAATGATAACCTGTCGCTACTGCTTATAGATGAACTAGGATTATTTACATACATTCATTAAGAAATACAATAAAAATAAAAGTAAGGTGCAGATTTAGTCTTTACTTTAAATATTTCATAACCATTCCAAGCTTAAAAATCCTTAAATAAAATCTTAAGCTTCATACTTACATACACATATAAAAATCTAAATAATAAAGTGAAGTAAATGAAGCATATCAATGCTACACTTGTATAAAAAGATCTGACTGCGCCGTCACATTCTTGCATTATTGTGACTAACTTTTTGGACACGTACCGAGTGTCATCGCTCAGTCACCGAAGATTTGATTCTTTGTGACATTTTTCTGTTTTTGAAACCCACTTCACTCCAGGGAACTGTAAAAAGGTATTTCAATTTGTATTGGGTAACTTTTAGAATAATTGACTTAAGATATACATATTTATAAATAGTTGCATAAAAAATCATGTTTTGTAACCTTAGATACTAAGCTAGGTAATGTTAAAATATCCGTAACTGCGTAACAATTTTAAGAAAACTTACATTTAATTTGAAGAGGAAAAAATTTCACTTGTGACGCTAACTGTACGTATGGGTTTATGACAAGCCAACAGTGATGTTTAAACATTTTAGGAATGTTATTTTCATTATATTTCCAATTATTTTTTTAAATTATTAAAATAATCTTGGGATAATATTTGTAGATAGTTTTTAAACATCGATTGTTTTAGAATTCAAAAAATAAAAATGTATTAGTATATGAAATTTGTTTTGTAAATAAAAATTTTAAGAGAAATCGAAATGTTTATCGTTTATTAAAAAATATTAGGAAGAAGATTAAATACACTGCAAATTTATGTGCTAAAATTACTATTAATTATATATATAAATTGTAAAATGAAAAATTCTTTAAAAACTTACTATAATGATAAAATCCAACCCACTGTTGTAAAAAAATATATAAAAATTAAAAGCTTAAAATCGTATGTATAAATGAAGAAAACAAGCTTAAGAAAAATGTTCATATAAATAAACATAATTATGGAGAAAACGTAATAAAAATACGAAACTTTATATGTAAAATAAATGTATGTATAGAAAATATAAAATTAAACATTTATCACACTAGAAATATACCGTACAATACACATAATAATATATTATACATATTATTTTCGTTTTCTAAGTACTGTCCAAAAACGATTTTTCCCAAAGAAAAGAAGGTTAATCACCGTAATGTTTAATTTCTGAAAATCTGCTCACCAATTTAAGTAATTTATATAAATCCAATTAGTATTCCCATTTTTGTATACAATTACCTCTTTTTTGCAAATAAGTTAGCTTTACTAATTTGCTTCTTAGATATTTGCTACAATATAATTTAAAAAGTGTACAATTATGCGAATAAAAAAAAAAGGAAAAACTCTAATTCGGCTTCACCCGAAGTTATTTAACCCTTCAAAGCTGTATTTCTTATAGCGCAAAAGGGTTTTTATCTTTATTTTGATCAGTCTGTTTGTATGCTATGTGCTATAATGGTCCGATCTGATTAATATAGTTCGAGATGTTAGCGTCGTCTTGAAAAATATAGTCGGCGAACAGACAAATGCGGGAAGAGATAGACGCTTTCCAAATTTCAGATCGAGAACTGAGGGACTTGTTCCCATTTATAGAGACAGACGGACATAACTAAATCGATTCTACTCGTCATTCTGATCGTTTATATATTGTATACGTATATACAGTACTTGCAACACCAAAAGCTCCGTCAGGATCGGGAAGGACCTCTTCGAGCCGTTTGATAACATGCGAGGTTTCAGACAAGGCGACTCCCTATCGTGCGACTTCTTCCACCAGCTCCTGGACGATGACAACAACTGATGAGTCGACGGTGCGAGTTTTCGAGAGAAAAGTTCTGCGAAAAATTTCTGGTTCATTGCGTATGAGATATATGACGATATTTACATAGTTCAGCGAATTAAAAGACAGCGGCTACGCTGGCACGGTCATGTTGTCCGAATGGACGGAAACACTCCAGCTCTGAAAGTAATCGATGCGGTACCCGCCGGGGGAAGCAGAGGAAGAGGAAGACCTCCACTCCGTTGGAAGGACCAGGTGGAGAAGGACTTGGCTTCACTTGGAATATCTAATTGGCGCCACGTAGCGAAAAGAAAAAACGACTGGCGCGCTGTTGTTAACTCGGCTATAATCGCGTAAGCGGTATCTACGCCAATTAAGAAGAAGATATACAATACTTAATAGGACCACTGACTTAATATGGTCTGTTCGGGGTATAAATAACATAAATATTAAGCCTTTTATTTGATGTATTTTTCGAAATCTTAGTTCCCTTAAACAGAATTGGTTATTTGGTGATATCTTTATTATAAAAGCATATTTTTGAAAATTTCAAGTACAATAAGGTTTTTTTTTTTTTTTTTTTTTTTTTTTTTTTTTTTTTTTTTTTTTTTTTTTTTTTTTTTTTTTTTTTTTTTTTTTTTTTTAAGTGCTTATTAACCCTTATTCGACCTTATCTAAAAAAGTATAAAGTGAATTTTCCTCGGAAAATGGGTGATCTGGTTTTTGAAACAATATCTATAAATAAATGTAAAGTTTATAGCTAGATATAAAACTGTAAGAACTTGAAGTGTTTACAAAAGATATTAAAATTTAATTGTTGTTATTATAAATAAAACACAAAATATTTAGTTATTCATCAATTTTTATTTTGTCGCCTTCAAAGTAATCCCCACCAGATGTAGTATACTAATGCCAACGAAACACTTTTCAAAAGTACTTTTTAGGATGGTATTCAGCTTTTTTAGCGATTTTTTATCTCTTCGATCGACTGGAAACGGATTCACGGAGCGGCAATTTCAGTTTAGGGAACAAGAGAAAATCACATGGAGCCAAGTTTAGTGATTATTACGATATCGATGGTATTAATTGCGTTTTTGCTTTAAATTTGATCATAATTGTACTCTTTTTGAAAAAAATCACTTGCTTGATGATTCTCAAGCACCATATCCTTCACTTTTTTAATATTTTCATCAATTGAAGAACGGGGCAGGTCTTCAAAGTCCTCTCGACCGTCGTTGAAGGCTTTGTACCACTCGTAGGCGTAGGAAGCGTCGGAGACCCTATAAATTATATATCTTAATGATCAGGATGTTGAGCTGAGTCGATTTAGCCATGTCCTTCTGTCGGTCTGTCCGTCCGTCTGTCTGTCTGTCTGTCTGCCTGTATATATACGAACTCGTCTCTCAGCTTTTAAGATATCGTTCTGAAATTTTGTAAGCGTCATTTTCTCTTCAACAAGTTGCTCATTTGTCGGAACTGCCGATATCGGGCCACTGTAACATATAGCTGCCATACAAACTGAACCATCGGAATCAAGTTCTTGTATGGAAAGCTTTCACATTTGACAATGTATCTTCACCAAAGTAGGCACAGATTATTTTTTAGAGCAACAATGTAATCTCCGAAGAAATTGTTCAGATCGGCGTACTATAGCATATAGCTGCCATACAAACTGAACGATCGAAATGTAGTGCACGCCTGAAATCTCGATTATCACTTTATCATGCGAGAGTATAAAATGTTCGGTGACACCCGAACTTAGCCCTTCCTTACTTGTTTTTAAATATTATTTACTCGGTTAACTTAATTACTATTTCCGGGTGATTTTTTGTCATAATGTATTATTTTTTGTACTTTGTTTATACATTGCAACTGGTTTAAATAAAAGAAAGGACTAACAAGCAACTTGAATATGATTTAAACAAATAATTACAAAATTACAAAACTGCTATGAGAGTATTGGCTAATTTGAAAGATTGCTGGGTTTGAGGCGTTTGAGTCGTCTTGGTGGTCCATCTCTAGAAGTTGACATAGCTACCTTTTTGTTACGGGGCATCTCGACAGGATAAAATCTATGTCTTACTAACTGTCAAATCTATTGCTATTGCAATTGCCAAATCTGTATGTGGGCATTTGTTATCATAACATAATCATTTGCGCAAAGGCGTAGGGTAGGTAGGTTCGAGCTGATGTAGCGCATGCTTTGAGCTCTTGAAAAATTTATTTTATCACATTGCGAAATGCCGTCGGGTAGGTAGCTGATGTAGCTTTTATGAGGAAAATAAAAAATAATTACGATCCTTTTTTTTACAAAATGTATTTCTGGGAAAAATAAGAATTCATATTTTTGGACTGCTATATAATAATTGTGACATAAATATACATAATATATATAAAATGAGCAAAGATATTTTGATTTATGCTTGTATACGTTTATTAAATTTAAGGCTTCGCTCACTCCCAATAACAAATATAATATTTTTTAGAGTAATGTTATTTTGAAAATGTACTTTATTTTTATAACATAACACAACCATCTTAATACTCTCTTTTCTAAATTTTATATTACCGAAATGAAAATGCCGTCGGCATATGTATGTGCAAATGGGATATGTTGCCTCTTCGAAATTTTCATAGAAATGAAAACTGCGGTGTCAAACTGCTGAAGTGACAGCTTATTGCTTGCAATATATGGCAAACTAATTAGTATTCCATATATTGTAAGCAATAAGCAMTGTGGAGTCTCCACAGGCAATAGGCACGGCAATACAGTTGGTAAGACATTGATTTTATCCTGTCGAGATGCCCCGTTACAATGCTGTAGCAATCTTGCACTATGTGCTGTTGCAATTTTTAATTTTTCTGCGTTTGTGTTAGTACATCGACAGAGTTGTGCACCATAGCTCCATATCGGTTGGAGTATTTGCTTATATACATATACATGTATTTAACAAAATTTCGACGCTGCATAGAGTCTACATTTCTGATATGCACACTTTTCCCAGTGCACGCAAAATTAAAAACAATTAAAACAAAAAAGAATAAATGCATTATTCTTAACAGTTTTCTTTATTTTTTGTTGTGTGTCAAATAGTTTTTAGGTAATCATGTAGATATAAACATGACATCACTTTCTCGTAAATGATATTTACTAGTTTGTATAAAGCATATGTTTTAATAAATAATTTGCCTATTCTCTTTAAGTTTAAATGCTTTCTATTTTACACGAATACCTAATGTTTACTTATATGTATATACACTATTTACATTTATTTATTACGTGTATTTTTATTGTTTCGAACAAATTGTAACACATTTTTCTTGAATTTTGTTGTTTTTTTTGTTTGTTTTACTCATAAACAAATCGAAATCACTTGATTTCTGATGAATAAATATAAAAAAAATTAACATGAATAGTTTTTAAATTAAAATACGGCTGTTTGAGCAATTACATTTTGTTTCAATACTTACATACAAAAAACATCTACATATACATTTTTATAAATATACATGTACATACATATATATTATTAAAATTTACAAAACAAAAATACTGTGTAAATAAATAAGTGTAATAAAGTTTGCCGTAAAATGCGAGAATATGCAATTATACATAAACACACACATGCACATGTATGTACGTATGTATATACATGTATTTAATTAATTTATATAGCAATTAGTATTTAATGTTATAGGATTTTGTGTGTGTATTTGTATTCATGATCATGTTGTTTGGCGCGCCAGTACGAGTAGTTGCGCATTTGCAAGTACTTAAGCAATATGCGTGTGTACGAGTATCAGTAATGAACGCCTGGTGTTTGCGAATTCGGATTCGATGTGTTCCCTGAGTCGCCCAGCCAGGAGTCAGGACTTGGTGGAAAATCAGGATAGCCCTGCTCTGGACTAGAATCATTGCTCAAATCCGAAACTGCACTGCCATGTACGCGATGTGCCTTTGACGCGCTCACATTATTCGATGATGTATTGTGTTCTGTAAATTTAAAAAAATACACATGTTTATGAAATTTTTTTGCAATAAATGGTTGTTCATAAAAGCTTTTTTTTATTTAAATCGTTAAGAAATATAAAGTTGACGCTCTCTTTTCTAGAAAATTGTTGTAGAAATCGGTTGAGCAGGTCCCGCGATATGGGTTTTCACCTAACTGAGGATGGTGTCACGCCTATCATCCACATTGACACTGGTTCTTTAAAAGCCTTCTCTTATCACCTCGACTGTAAAATTTCATGACTCTAGCGCGTTTAGTTATATATGTATTTATCGCACGTTTGGTAGTTTTCAACAAAACCGTTATATTGGGAGTGGGAGGTTATGTACCAAATTTTCACAGGGTGAGTAGGGATGCCAAAAAGATATGTTGTCAGCGAATTTGGTTATTATAGATGTTTATTAAACTTATTAGCCGCTCTCTCTTTCTCTAGTATGATTGCATACATATTAAAAGTGGACTCGGACTGGTCCATTTAAAACGAAACGATAAATTTTTTTCGTACAATCTTTGCTTTTATGTTTGTGTGAAGTTTGATCTTGATATGTCAATGACGAGAAAAGTTTGTTTGGGATTTTTTACCACGAAAAAAAAATTAACAACGAGTTTACTTAAAATTTTGTGTTTCCAATGGAATGGGCGGTCAACTTTACAAAACGTTCAGAGCGATAGCAGAGGATCTTAACATCCCTTGTGAACCGACTTAAAACCGAGCCGCAACAAAAGTCCTGAATCTTTTGCAAAAACGACGGCGGGTAGAGGTCACAAAAGGAATGCTTGGTAAAGTAGTTAAACACCCTTCATTCGTCAAATGCATCATTACTTGCAACGAGACTTGGGTCTATAAATATGATGTCAAAATTCTCCAAAAATCTGGAATAAGCCAAGAATGAGCCAAAACGAAAACAAAACCATATTTTGATAAATCCGAAGGTGAGACCGAGGCATATAACAAGTATATGGAAAACTATATAAAGTTTTGGAATGCTGGTATTTGCTAAAAATGAGCCTTTAGATAAACAGATCATTTTGGATTAATTCTAATGTTTTGTATATAATAATTAAAAAATAATTACATAAAAGGGACTTTGTGAATATGTACCTCGACAAACTATCATCACATGAAATAGATGCCAACCTTTTCGATTTATGGTAGTTGTTTGTTCGATTCGACACTTTCGAAGGACTAGCGAATCGAAGGCAGCTATTAATTATTCTTACCATATTTTTTTCGTTATAATATTAAGCATATATTTTTACGTGTATTAGTTACCTATATTTGTATAAACAATATTATCGGGATATGAACCAAATGAGTGATTGTGCCCCACAGGTGGTGGTGATCGACTAGTAGGATATTGCGGTGGACTGGAACTACCGTGCAAATAAGATCCTCTTATACTATGTGGTGAAGCACCTTCATCTAAACCTAGATTGACCGTACTGTAGCTATCGTTGCTTAGATCTAGAAATAAAAAAAAAAAAATTTATAATTAATAAAATAAATATTTTTTTCTATAAGGTTTTAGCTGATATTTTTTCTATTAAAAACAAACAGTTGTCAGATTAATATGAAAATAAATATCTAAGTACTTACCATGGTGGCTAAAACTGTCGTAGTCTACTTTCAATTCATCCTTGTCGAGGAATTTTTCCGTACGCGGAGAACAGTTACCCTTCATTGATCTGAAATATTGACTCCATCGCGTTCGCCCAGCATCTTTCTTCAGTCGTTTCTCCTTCGCTCTCCTGTAGAATATAAATATTATTGCATCACTTCACTATATGAAATCCCTTTGGTATTCCTTTTTGGAAATTACCTATTTTGAAACCAAACTTGAACGACTCGCATGTCTAGTCCGGTATCTTGTGATAGTTGTTCTCGTACATGTCGTGCAGGCTTAGGACTATTATTGTAGGCTGTTTTAAGTGTTTCTAATTGTTTTGCTGTAATTGTTGTACGAGGTCGTTTATTTGGTTGATCCCCATCCAATGAGCCATCTAAGTAGAGTCCTATGAGTAGGGCAATAATGAAGATTTATTATGTTATTCCTATTTTTCGTGCATTATACATTTTTTGAGTTATTTATACTAATTTATTGAACACACACCCACCTTTCGCCTTCGCGTCTTCATAATCACGTTTACATATCAGTTTTCTATCTTCCATAAGGTAAAATTCATCACCGGTATTTAGTGTTCGAGAGCATATTGTACATAGAAAACATTGTAAATGGTAGACATTGTCCTGCGCTCTCCGTACCACTTGCGTTGGCGGAATTCCCATATCACATGCGGAACACTTTGTTCCATATCGTCTAGTAGGCCCGAACATTGGAAATGCAGAAGTTTTAATTAGTGCTACTTATTTTTATTTGTAATATATTAATTATTCTATTTTAAAATCATATTATATACTACATAATGTATTTACGATATAACTTAGAAAAAAATAAGAGGATATATATATCGCTGCTGTTTCAACAAGAAATGCTTTATTGTCATACCCTAAAAGAAAATCACATTTTCCATTTTTTTGTATTTAAATGTGAAAGGATTTGTCTTTAAAGTCTTAACTTTTAGCTTAATATATCTAGTTGCTACAACACTGAAACACCTCTAACTGTGGATAATAACTTGATGTTTGCCAAATCCTTTGGATGGATGGGTGTAAATACCCAGAAGAGGGTATATTAAAAGTGCCACGAAGTTTCTAACCCATTGAAGAAAACATCAAAACCCTTTAAAGTTAAGGGTCTGTCAACAAGAACGATGTGATGTTAAAGAGAAATAAAAGAATCAAATTGGATATAGTTTTTCTTTGCTATGTAGATAATTTTATGCCATTTATGATTTGATATACATATTAGAAAAATGAGCACTTACGACTCAATTGCAACATTTCGGCTTTAGTGTGCTGACTGTTATCTTTGAGCATTGCTTGTTGATTGGGGTAAACCTTTGATTTAACATACATCCAAAGAAAACTATCTAGAAGCGTTAAATCGCCGACCTGTGCCCATGTTTAGACGTAATTCATGAGGCCGACACTTGCTGTCAAAATCACGTCATCCCTATCTGTAGATGAAGTCTGTTTGTGTATACTGGAAGTGGTGCTTCGCTATAATCTACGCACAAATTGTTCAAATCGGACCAGCCTCTTACTGCCATTTAATCTTACCGATTAAAATCAAGACAAAGATCTTAATAAAACATCTTTTTTCCTTATTAAGTAGCTTATTAACTTTAAAAAATTGACTGAGCAACCAAATTTGTTAAACTTATATTATCTTCATAGTTTAAATTATAAAACCTGCAGGAATCGTATAGTGCTTTCAAAACTGGACAAAAATTTAGTGCGTATCAGCGTACCAAGAAGCATTATCAGATTCATGTTGCGTTTGTTGCCCAAAAGAGTGACAAGTTTGAATGGCGAAAAACTCCTTCCGCATGATTTCCTGGGACGTGTTAAGTTGACTAAAAAATCGCTGACTCGAAACCGGTTTTAGACACATAGTCTCTTATAGGGCCCATACACGATACACATGTGCGTTCGATCTGTGTGAACTCGTTTCGGCCATACACGACACACAAATCCATTTTGCGTTCGTTCAAGCGGAACATTTCTTGGAATTCATTTCTATTGTAGCACTTTTATCTATTTCTTTGTATTTCGTTAATAAGTTATTCCAACTTTTATTTTTCTCAAATTTATTTTTATATTTATCACTTTTCGTTTATCAAATTGCTAATTAATTTTTTATAAGATCAATAAATTCTGATATGAAATCTTTATTAATGAGGTAGTCTGCTATAGAAGCTTCAAACAATCGATTTTTTTGCTTAAATCTCTTTAAAAATTATCTAAGAATATGTCCCTAAAGTTATAGATGGGAATTCGAAATATTATCGAAGCTAGAAGGGAAAGAGTGACCGAGCGTTAGCAGATATATGTATGAGCGCTTGGGCGAAAAGCGAAAAATTTGACGCACGATTTCTCGGTTTTTCATTTTTACAATTTTTCTTAATTGGCAACTAAACGTCAGATAAGTTATTAAAAAATATGAATCTCTTAGAATTTTTTGTTTCTGATAGAAATTGCGACCTGTATTCTGTCCGCCGTCCCAAAAATGCGCATGCGGGGCTTCCCAAAAGCAGAATATCAAAGATTTCGTATCCAAACAATTTGTGAAAGATGTTCAAATATATAACTATAAAGCCTAAAAATTTCACTTGAATCAATTATTTCTTTCCCTGCCGAAAAAATTCTCAAAAAAATCGATTTTTTGAAGCCTCTAAAGCAGGCTCCCCCCTTAACACTTGTCATTGTTCGTCCGCGATCTTGACTATTAGGCGACACGACAGAAATGAGATTTTGTGCGCACACAACGCCATACACGACACACATGTGCGCACACCGATCGTAAAAAATCAAACATTTTCGCGAACATGGATTGGTATGCGCACAAGCCCATACACGAGTAAACCGCATGCGCACACATACCGATCGAACGCACTTGTGTGTCATATATGGGAACATTTAGGCAAAGTTGTTCAGAATAATCCGTAGCACATTTTTTGCAAGCTCGACTTTTCCGTTTTGTTTGCCCTCTGTAAATCGACAGGCTTTAGTATTTATAGCTTGGAGCCTGAATGCAAAAAATATTTTTCAACTGAAAATGAATCTGCTCTATTTCAATGAGACAACAATTTAATATGTTTTAAAGTTTTGTTTTTCATTTACTTAGAAACTTTTAAAGTTGGAAACAGTGAGACTATTATATCCTCATAAGAAATATTAAACCCAAATTTCGTTTTCAAAATGCTTACGAAAGTACCCAATCATTAGTAAAAACTATTAAAAACAATCCCATAACTTTTAAATAATAATTTTGTAACTTAACTTACTTAAAAAAGTCTTCTTTACAGAAAAGCTGACCATTCCGCGAGAAGCATTTATCATTTAGTTGGGTGTGGCATTCGCTGCATTGCAAACATTTCGCATGCCACGTTCGCTCCAACACTTTTAATATAAAACGATCTAGTATAAGTTCATGACAGCCTCCGCATTTCGGTATAGTAGCTGGAATGAAAAATATTCGCAAATAAATATTTATAACTATTGAGTGTTTTATAAAGGTTTTTACATATGCATGGCATAGATTTTTAATATTTATATACATATGTTTGTATGTAATATGTTATAATATGGGGTTCAAAAATCTAGTTAGTCAGGTCATGCGGTTCAACGAGAAACGCTATATATAGCCGGTAATACAATTTTTTTTTATTAAAATGTGCAAAATACACTTAAGTATGTTGTAAGTGTAAGTTCCAGAAAATTTCACATTCTATGGTTTGAGATTATGGTGGATTTTTGCAGCAGTTATGCAAATTTGTCACTTAGAGTTAAATTTTTACCCTGCTTAATTCTTTTCTGTAACATTTGCTGAAATGCAACTCTAACTTTCCAAGAGAGTAGGTGAAAATTATGACATCAAGTTAATTATGACTGAAATTTTTCTCAACACTGAAGTAATTCCTCTATTTGTTATGGTACATGTTCTGTTTGGTTTGTTATGTATGTCTGCTGGTTAACGGTGTTAAAATGAATGAAATTTGATGATAATCCCGCTCACTCCTCATAAAACAATAATCTTAAAAATTACTGGACTCCAAAACATATAGTGACTTTTTATTGAAAATATTGATCAATGTGTCAGATATATAATTGCAATTTGGAGAGTTGGAATTTTCTGATAATATTATCTCAAAAATGGTTGGAATCAGGTTTTTACTTCCCTTAGCCCCATATACCTAATATAAAGATTAGGTATTAGCTGACTTTATACTGCATATATCGGCCAATATGTGAGTTATTTTAATAAAAATGAGCGTTTTTTTCTAATAACGGTAATTTTTTGTTCTTAGAATAAAAAAAATGGGGTGAAAACTCGGCATAGATCCCATATTACTAACAAGCCTTGTGTACCTGAAGGTATTACATCGGCTTTAATCCTTGCAAGTTGCAAAGTATGAAATGTTCGGTTATACCATAATATAGCTCTTCCTTACTAGTTATATAAATGGTTTATAAATTTGTAACTGAAGCGTTCGATATAAACTTCACAAAACTTTAACTTGTATTTTCATGCAGTTCACAACACGTGAATTTTACTGTGCCCAAGAAATAAGCTGACATTGTATTTATTTTCTAAATTCTTTATTTATTCTTCCAAATTAATTTCATTCCCTTCAAAGTAATCTCCTCCCGATGCAATGCACTTATGCCAACGTATTTTCCAATCTTCGAAACACTGGTTGTAGTCACTTTCCGGGATGGCCTTCAGTTTCGTCTTCGCTGCGGCTTGAATCTCCTCTACCGTATAAAAACGGTGTCCCCGGAGCGGTCTTTTGAGCTTGGTGAACAGCCAGAAGTCGCGCGACGCCAGATCAGGTAAATACGGTGGTTGTAGAACGATAAGGGTTGAGTTTTTGACGAAATGATCACGAATTACGAGGGCAGTATGGGATGGTGCATTATCATGGTGTAAAATCCAAGAATTCCATTCCAATTCCACAATTCCGCCCTTTTTAAGCGGGAAATAATATTCCTTGTTGACTGTTTGACCGGTTGGACGGAATTCATAATCAACACCATGATAATCGAAGAAGACAGTCTACATGACCTTGATTTTTGAGCGACTTTGGCGCGATTTTTTTGGTCTCGACTCTCTTTTGGCACGATATTCGCTCGATTGATCGGTTGTTTCGGGGTCGCAAGCATAGATCCAAGTCTCATCGCCAGTTATATTCGTTTCATGACACTCTGGTAGTCGGAAAGCATCGTTTCACACAACGCGACGCCTTTTTTCCAAAAAATTCTATGTTTTCGGTAGCAGTCGAGATTTGACGCGCTTGAGGCCAAAACATCTTCAAAATGACCAACTTCATCAGCAAGGTCTTTAATTGTTAATCGACGGCTTTTCAACACCAAATCTTTGATTTGTGGAACGTGAGCTTCGTCGGTTGAGGTTGATGGTCGCCCTGGACGCTCTTCGTCTTCGACACGTTCACGACCGGATGGGAACTCACTATACCACTTGTAAAAATTTTTTTTAGACGTAGTCTCATCACCAAAGGCTTTCTGCACCATCCTCAACATATCCGCAGCAGAAAATTGATTCCGTAAACAATATTTAATGCTAATTCTTTGCTCAACAAATTTCGACATCGCAAAACACAAAAAACTCACTTTTAGCAGCTCACAAAACTACACGCGCGCAGTTTAAATTCAAATGTCACTTTACCAGCAGTCATCAGATAAAATTTCAATCAATTAATAAGTAATTGTAATTAGATTAGTCTGAAAGTTAATACAAATTTAGTTTACAAACTTGACAAATTTTTTTATTTTATTTTACATATGTATTTTTACATATTCCATTTCTTTTCTGAAATTAATTATATTTATAGTCTAACGTATTTTGTTTGCCTAAAATATAAATAAAATTTCGAGAAAAGCATATGGTTTATGAAGTTTTCTTATTTTGTTTTACATTAGTCCATTCCATCTCTATTCTTAAATTATATTTATAGCATTCTTCGCATATTCCTCACACCTCCTGTGACGAATGCGAGCTCTGAACGCTCTTTTTCGAAAGATTCTGAAAACTTGGCCCACATTGTCATGTTTTGCGAAATTTTTCTTTTCAATGCACGAACTGACTTCAGTACCACAATTTATAATGTGTTTTTTTAATTTATTAGGATTTGATATATGCAGGTCGATTCGAAAATTTTCCATATTAATCCTGGACGTGTTTTGTTAGTCGATTTGACTAACAAGTCGATTTGACTAACAATCATCGTGTTTTGCAAAAAGCAGCAAAATAACAATGTCCATCCAGGGTTAAACTGACTACTATATTTCATATAATAATTTTTATGTTTAAGTGAATGTTTCTTGCACCTTTGTCGAAACTATGAATTAGCCTTAAAAAGAAGTCTTAGTTGTCTAAGGCAGAATAGGCATACGTAGGCTGCTTTTTATATTTTGGGATTTGCCAACACTAGTTGTTTATAGTAACTTAAAATATTCTTTTCGCCCAAAGAATTTAATAAGATCGCGAACAATTTGCATTTTTTTTTCGACGTGAATTAACTTATTAAGATTAAAGATGAAATTAGTTAAATTTTTGACGAGCTCCAACAAGGGCCAGTCTTTATCGATGGTATAGTGAGTTTAATCGTCGTAGATCACTCCAAGACGAATTTCGGAAGGTCGTCCAAAATCAGTTGTCGTTGAGGAAACTATTGATGCTGCGCGCAAACGTATATTGCAAGATTGTCATATGATCTATCGCGGGATTGAAACAACTATAGGCATTAGTGGGACTAACATATATACATACATTCAATTTTGCATGAAATTCATGACTGTAAAAAAACGTTCACGTTGGATCCCATATAATTGTCAATCGCTGAAGAAAAAGCTCGTATCGAAAGTCTAGAGATATGTTAACAAAATACGACAGCGGTGCTTCGATGTGCTTCTATGACATGGTGACAGATAATGTATCGTGGATTTACGTGTATGACCCCGAAAGTAAACAGTAGTAGACTTATGGGCCGAATTCAACAAAAGTTGTTCGCTCAGGAAGCACTTCTAAGTGAGTAATTGCTTGTTATACCCTGAACAGGGTATATTACGTTTGTCACGAAGTTTGTAACACTMAGAAGGAAGCGTCGGAGACCCTATAAAGTATATATATAAATGATCAGTATGTCGAGCTGAGTCGATTTAGCCATGTCCGTCTGTCTGTCTGTCCGTCTGTCTATCTGTATATATACGAACTAGTCCCTCAGTTTTTAATACATATATCGTTTTGAAATTTTCCAAACGTCATTTTCTCTTCAGGAAACTGCTCATTTGTCGGAACTGCCGATATCGGACCACTATATCATATAGCTGCCATGACATGAAACTGAACCATCGGAATCAAGTTCTTGTATGGGAAACTTTCACATTTCGCAATGTATTTTCACAAAAGTTGACACAGGTTATTTTCTAAATCAACAATGCTATCTCCGAAGAAATTGTTCAGATCGGCTAACTATAGCATATAGCTGCCATATAAACTGAATGATCGGAATCAAGTTGTTGTATGGAAAACTTTTACATTTGACAAGATATATTCACGAAATTTGGTATAGGTTATAATCTAAGGCAACAATTTAATATCCGAAGAAATTTTTTAGATCAGATTACTATAGTATATAGCTGCCATACAAACTGAATGATCGGAATCAAATGCTTGCGTGGGAAACATCCTCATTTGACGATATATCTTCACGAAATTGGGTGTGAGTTATTGTTTATAGAAATAATATAATATCAGAAGAAATTGTTCAGAGCGGCTCACTATATCATATAGCTGCCATACAAGCCGAACGATCGGAATCAAGGGCTTGTATGGAAGAGTTTCGCATTTGACGTCGTATCGTCACGAAATTTGGCATGGATTACTGCTTAAAGTAACAATATAATCTCCAAAAGAATTGTTCAGAACGGATTACTATAGCATATACGTAGCTTCCATACAAACAGAACACATAGTTACTAACAGAAATGCACCTGTGAAGGGTATTTAGCTTCGGTTAACGTGTTTTTTTTTTTTTTTTTTGGAAAAACTGAACATGACGCAACCATATCACTGGAACAACGCGGAACAGTAAATTCTAGGTGCTGTACATACATTTGACTTTCCACTTTCTTTCAAGTAATCAGGAAAACTAACCGCCGAAGACGTATCACATCGCTAGCTTTCACAAGCAGATTGAATCAACTGCATTTTTGACCACTTAAACATCGATTTGATGAGTAATCCACCGTAAAGTCTTGACTTGGTACCGAAAGACTGATTTTTGCTACCTTTCGCACACCGATTGAAACAACTGAATTTTTGTGCACTTAAAACATCGGTTCCATGAGTAATCCTTTGGCAAAAGTGCTTTGAGAATTGGTTCAAATGCATACAAATGTGTTTACATCTTAAAACGATTTTTAAAATTGTTTTAATT